CCTCATACTTTTTTGCTACATGTTTGTGTAAAATAGCACTCTGTGTTACCTCTATGTGATTCCTTTAACTTATTCTTGTCATTAAATCCAAATTATACATTGAAGTGTCGACATGCAGTCTGAAAAATTTGAGGAGTTGGTTTGCAAACGTTTCTGGCTATAAATTGTCTTTTTTTCGAAAGTATCTTCCTGTACATTTTCAGATTGAGGGTTACTGGATAGAGCGTGGTCTAAATCTGCCCGAAGATGACCCAAATTATGTGGTCACTAAAACTGTGAAAGCTAATCTGGCGGAGATTGCAAGGATCACGTCAAGTGGCAGGTTGGTTGCGTCACTTTTTCACTTTGAGTGGAGAATCGACAAGTGGAAAGTCTTACAAGGAAGTGCGGATTACCACCATTCTTATTTAGGGTTCACTACTTATCTCTTCAAATTTAGATTTCCCGTATTATTAGAAGGAGAAACAAGTGCAGGGAAAACGTCTATCGTATGCCATCTTGCTCGAATCACGGGCAACGCCATAGTACGGATCAACAATCATGAGCACACCGACGTTCAAGAGTAGTTTTTACTGTTTCTGAAAGTGTCACTGAGTCAGCTGTTTGTTACTTGTTGCAGATACATGGGATCATACGTAGGAGACGCTGCGGGACGGCTAGTTTTTCGTGAAGGAGCCCTAGTCAAGGCTGTAAGAGACGGTAGCTGGGTAATTCTGGATGAGCTAAATCTCGCACCCACTGACATTATTGAAACGTTGAACAGAGTCAGTATCCCGTTACTAGGAGTAACGAAAATCTGTTCTTCAAATCACTTTCTTTGTTAACTTTTTACCAAAAGTTTAGCTACTTGACGACAATCGTGAACTTTTTGTACCGGAATTGAATGTGGCAATTAAAGCGCACCCAAGGTTCCGTCTTTTTGCCACTCAGAATCCAGCCGGAACTTACGGAGGTCGCAAGCGTCTTTCACGTGCGCTGACGTCTCGATTTGTGGTGCTGAGATTCGACCATCTACCGCTGGATGAACTGTCCTCGATGGTTCGTGGTCGTTTTCCGTTGTAATGCATAAAGAACTGTCCTCGATGGCTGGCGGTCATTTTCCAATGAATTGATCAATGACAACAATAAATTTAAAAAGTTTGACTGCCTGAACATCATACAAACTTCATTTGTAGAATCCACTTTTTGATTTAGGTTTGTGTTCGTTGTGGAGTGCCTACATCAGCCGCTACCAAAATGATCAATGTGCTTTCAAAACTTCGATTGAAACGCGCTATCAGTGGTCTTTTCTCAGCCAAAGATGGTAGTTCACTTCAGCTAATCTGCGGCGAAATGAGTTGAATGCATTTTTGCGAAACCCGATTTTTTAGGTCTTATGACTTTGCGAGATGTCTTTCGATGGGCAAAGCGACTTGCCACAGACACTACCTGCGACGACTGGCTTCAGGTTATATTTAAAATTATGAAGCCATATCCTTTTCTCGATGTCTCTGTTTAGATATTAGCAAACCATGGCTATCTTCTCCTTGCCGGACGCTGTCGTAACCAGAGAGACGTGGATTCTGTTGTAGAGACGTTAGAAAATGAATTAAAGCGCAAGATTGAGGTACTCTACGTGATTCATTTACCAAAATATTCATATTATAACTTACAAATTTGCTTCATCCTCAGTCCTCTTGCTAGTTTGGGCTCTCCGTTGGTTCACACCTATCCTCGGTCCATCTGTTTGGCTCTGAAATGATGATTTTTTGATTATTTGTGAGATTGCACTTTTTAGCCATTGAAGTTGTTTGCCATCAATTCTCCATATATGCCCAGGGATGCAAACATAAAAAATCTTGTAATGACACTGGGAATGAGAAAGATGTTGGTAATGACTGAACAGGTGAGAAATTAGCTGGTATGGCTTTATAATCTTGTCCATCCTGCCATAATAATTCGTTTTTTTAATAAGTTCTTGCGCTTTGCGTTTTTACCATTATTGTTCTTTAGGCATGGCTTCGTAATGAAGCTGTGCTGCTGGTCGGAGAGACTGGAGGTGGCAAGACTAGTCTTGCTCAAGCGATGGGAAGAGGAAAATTAATGACCATTAATTGTCATGAAAGAACAGAGACTGCTGATCTTTTGGGGAGGCTTCGACCGAGAGAAAACGGGGGGTGAGTTCTTCTTCCA